CATATCATGGTTACATTTATGCAAGCCTTGAGGAGGTGAACGGTGCTTTGAAATAGGCTATTGCAAGAAAGGCACACTGCACCACTCCTGCAGGCGTTGGTGATGGTCTAAGCTAGCTTCTCTTGCTTTGAGGCCATTTCCTAGTTCATCAGATGTTAGAGACAAATATGTACACATTATTTAAGTTGTTCCTTAATGAAAACTTATGTGCAACAGACATACTTTGTCTCCGTTGATCTCCAAATAGCTGTTGAATCATTTGTCTCACTTTGTTGTGAGCTTCTTCAATTAATGACAGATGTAGGAGTCAATTTATGTGAAAAAAGAATTTCACTGTCCAAAATGCCATGTTGGTTCTTGGTTACTTAATGGTTAGTGCATAATTTAATTTCTTTCTCCACTTGTTTGCAGGATGGCTGATTTTTTGTCCCAAGATGTAAAAGTTTATTTAACCAGTTTCTCATGTGCTAGCCTAATCGGTTTGGTGCATTTGGTTATAACTTTCTTTCTATTGGACGTAAAGTGGATTCTTAATTTAGGTCTAAATATGTGGTGTATTCTTTATTTGAGATCTCGACAGAATTAGAAATGAATTACAGTGCGAATTAAGACTGTTATTATGAACACATTATAGAGGACAAAATAATACTCTAAATAAATTCACATGTGTGAGATTAGTTTAATAAGTTAATAGCATAAAAACTGAAAAAAATATATCATATTCTAAATTAGGGTTTGATATATACTGTTTTATTTCATCTTCACCATAACCCTTCACTTTTTTTAAGTAACTTTTCTTTCGAGTTATCATCTTTAAAAACTTTTTTAAAAAGGAGTTTCAAGTGTGACTCAATATTTAAGCAACTATATTCTTTCTATGGCATGATTATATTAATTATTAAACAACAAAATTATAAAAAAAATATATTAAGTAATTGAGTTCTACTTCTTTTTTCTTAATACTATTTTGATTTTTGTATTTGTATCTTTTGTTCAAAGTGATCCTTAAGGTTTTTTTTAACATTCAAAGTGGTCACATTTTTTTGTAAAAGTTCATTTTAGTTTTTCTCGCTGACGGCGTCTAAATTGCTAACGATATAATGTTCACCTAAGCTAATATTGAATGAGTTGTCAGTTTTAGATATATGTGACAAGTTAAATAGAAATGACGTGGCAATGGTAAGTTGTTTTTGTTCAATTTGGGTTCAATTTGTTAACAAAATCATGAAGTTAGAAATTTTGATGATGTCCAAATCAAGTCTCTAAGTGCTGAAGTTGAAAGAAGACCTTCACTAATATTTGTTTTTGTCTTAAAGCATTTGTAATAAGTAGTTTTATGTATAAGGCCTTATTTGTTATTGATTTTATGCTTTAAAATTCGTTTTGGAGTCATAAAAACTGTGCAATAATCGATTAACACTTAAGATAATCGATTATCATAGAAAAGTTTTTAAAGGCTGCTAAAAGCTTATTTTGTCTCTAGAATATCATTTCAGCCTAATCGATTATGACTTACCATAATCGATTATCACGACGACTAACCGTGTTTGGGCATGCTTTTGGTCGTTGTGCATTCAATAAATGCATAATCAATTACCATAAGTGGATAATCGATTATCACGCGAGAAAAAATTTATAACGAATTTTTGAAGGTGTCCTGGAGTGAGATATTTATATATTGGTTTTTGACCCTCATTCTAATACACAACACATATCTATTTGTTTAAACTGTGAAAAGTGTGACCTGGGGTTTGTGTAACTCTTGTGCTTTGGCTTTGAAAACTTAGTGTTGGTATAGAGCCAGAACTTTCACTAGGATTATGATTGAGTGTTGTTGTTGCTGAGTGTTCTCAGACTTGATTCGTTTCCTGTGCTATTTCAGGACTTCTATGATGGTTGCTATGCAAGAGGATGATTCTCCTGACTTGAGAGAAGTAGCAAGAATCCTCAAAGACGTCCTTGAGGTAAACAAATATGACATGACACCATATACTTTATCCTTAAAAACCCTCTAAATCTAACAATCATTCCATATGGCTGGGTTGTGCTGTCTAAGATTCCTAATGTTCCATTGAAGTTAAGAAAAGTTGTGGTTAAAGTTTGTGATGTGGTGACTCGTAGAGCTGCACGATTGGCAACTACTAGTATTATTGTTGGGTCATCGAGGAGGAGGTTCACTAGGGAGATACAAACACCAATGAGATATGAGCTCAATCATATAAGGGATTGACACCACTCTCTACCCAAAACTTTAAGGCAATGGGTTAATGGATCTTCGACCTTATATGGTGCTCTACTTTCTCATTTCTACCCAATGTTGAGACTTAGACTCACACTTGGAATCCTAACAATCTCTCCCTCAAGGGTGAGTCCCTTCCACATTGGTACACTACCCCTCCAGCGGAAGCCTTCCCAACCCCTTCATACCGTCATTCATCTTAATGGGACATGCTTACCTGGAACCCTTACCTGGAACCTTTACCCGGAATCCTTCACCAGGAAGACTTTCGATACAGGAACCATTATACTCGTTTGAGTTAGTCACCAATACGAACCATCGGCTCTGATACCACTGCTGGGTTTATCGAGGAGGAGGTTCACCGGGGAGATACAAACACCAATGAGATATGAGTTCAACCATATAAGGGATTGACATCACTCTATACTCAAAACCTCAAGGCAATGGGTTAATGAATCTTCAACCTTATATGTTGCTCTACTTTCTTATTTCTACCCAATGTGAAACTTAGACTCATACTTAGAATCCTAACAATAACTAGTGTGGAGATCTAAGTGTGTTGTCCCTCTTTATAATTGGTATCAAAGCCAGGTTGGAGGTATAAAAAAGACTTTTGCTGTAGGGAGGTAGGTGGAGAACCATAGTCTCCTTGGTAAGAAATATTTTAGAGTAGTACTAAAAGCAAATTTGTGAAGGTTTGACCCAAAGCAAATAATATCTTACCAGTATAGAAATTTATGTGTGTTTCCCTCTTTACAATTGTTGGTATCTTGAAGAAGATTGGCAGGGATGGAAGTGGTGGCATCACAAGTGGAGGTAGAAGTGACGTGGAAATGAAAAGAATAGTTGTTGCAATTGAAGGAGGTGTATATTCTAGCTATACATTGTTTAGGGAGTATTGCATGAAGCTTTGAACGAAACATAGAGGAAAGATATTGCCAAATAAATGAATAATAAATGAAGCGGTCCTACTTAATATTAATTATTTTCATAAAAAATTAAAATTAACTATCAAAAGTTTACATAAATATTTATATTTCAACAATTGTATTATTCATTAAATTTATTTGCTAACGTTAATCCGCAACTTTAAATAGTTGAGTTATGCAACATTTTATTCATCATCCCAAACTTTCTTTGTTGGTTGTGGAACAAGCAACCCAGAGAAAGAAAATGCAAGCTTCAATCGCATGCAGTCGTCATGTACATGGAGTTAATCCACTGCAGTCCCACGCCAACCATCTTCCTCAAACAACCCTTCGACTAAAACCTCCCTACTGCGCTTTCACTCAACACAGATCACCTTCTGGGATAACACTCAGGTGCAATTCCCAACCTCAACCACTCCTAAACCTTCGCACACCAAGAGTGTGCAGTTCCAACATGGGTCCACTTCGGTGTGGCATTTCGTCGAGCATGTACGGTGGAAAAGAAAATAGGGGAGTTGGGGAGTGGCTTGTGCTGGCTAGTGAGGTTCTTTCAGCAGCATTTCCATTGTGGGTCTCAATTGGGTGTGTTGTGGGGTTGATGAAACCCAGTTACTTCAATTGGGTCACTCCCAAGTTGACGATTATGGGACTCAACATCATCATGCTTGGCATGGGCATGACTCTCTCTATTCATGATCTTCGTGGGGCATTTTCCATGCCAAAGCAAGTTCTCTATGCTTTTGCCCTTCAGTATTCGGTCAGTATCTGCACACAGTGATTGTTAAAAGTTTGATCAGTTCATAATATGATTACTATCATCCACTTAATTCTTTAATAACACTTCATAATCACAACACTTTTAACCTGTTAAAACAGATTTTAAATTCAGTAATACATAATGATTTCAGTTTTAGGCTTTTCCCATCATTCTCCCTCTGTTATTTATTATATATAATAATTGAAATTTATTTATTTTTTAAATAGGCAAATTAAAATGAATAATTTTGAAACAAAAAAATCGCAATAATTTCGATTTTAGCTTTTTTTTTAATTATGATCTAATGGGTTTCATAATGAAATCTGATTCAATTGTTTGTTTAGTTTCAATTAAATTGGGTTTCCATTGTTTTTAAAGAGTGTATAATTGTAAAGAAAATTATAAATATTAATTTAAATTCTGAGTTGGAGATAATTTTATAAATTTTCAAAGAGCAAATACAAACTAAATTTATAGTTCATACGAGTTCTGAAACATATTATAAAATGTCTAATTATGGAAAAAGCACCAAATATAGTTTTAAAAATGCATATCTTGAATAATTATTACAATAAATACACAGTAGAATTAGTTTGGTTTGCATTATATCGAATTTTAATTCAGAAAAAATACTTTCTTTTCTTTAATACAGACGTTTGTGCTATTACGAATTTTTCTGCTTCAATTATTACTGTTTGCATTAAATTGAATTGGTTCATGCATCTAAATTGCATTGCTTGATGAACCCCCAAATTTGACTATGAATTTGTGCTGCCTCAATCGTTTTTCCATTCAACAGAATTCCTTTTATTAGATTTTTTATTGTGTAATATTAGTACGTAATTATACTTCAAAATATCAGTTGTCCATCTTTAAAAATGGAAACTCAGTTAACTACACATAAAAGTGTGATTAAAAGTATCGTAAAATTAGATAAAACTAGAATTTCTTTGCAAAATACATAGGTACAAAAATCTGGTTATTTGTAAAAAACAAGGTTAAATAGTTTTTTTTATTCTATTTTATACTATCTTTTTAATTTAATTTCACTATTTTAAATTATTTTAATGATCGTATTTTTTTAAAAACTAGTCAATGTAGGTTTCTTATGTCAAATTTGTAATGAGATACGTTTTTCTAATAACTTGTGACATTACTTATTTGTGTACAGTTTCTGTCAAAAGTCAATTTCGACAAATAACATATATAGTTTCTTATTATTAATAATTATTTTAAATAATTAAATATGATTTTAATCTCTTAAAAACATTAAAATTAATTTTCTTTTAAAATTTTAATATCTTAAATTTAGTTTTTTTAACTAAATTTTGTTAAATTTATTTAATATTTTAAACACATTTTTAGTTAATATTATAAAAATAAAATTTATTTAATATTTCACACACTTTTTAGTTAATATTATAAAATAAAAATTATCAAACGATATAAAAAAACTCAAATGCCAATTAAATTTAACAAAATTTAAAAAAATATATTTTAAATTTTTATTAAAAGTTAAAACTAAAAAAGTGAAAACAAATTAAAAATATTTAAAGTAGANTTTTTTTAATTATGATCTAATGGGTTTCATAATGAAATCTGATTCAATTGTTTGTTTAGTTTCAATTAAATTGGGTTTCCATTGTTTTTAAAGAGTGTATAATTGTAAAGAAAATTATAAATATTAATTTAAATTCTGAGTTGGAGATAATTTTATAAATTTTCAAAGAGCAAATACAAACTAAATTTATAGTTCATACGAGTTCTGAAACATATTATAAAATGTCTAATTATGGAAAAAGCACCAAATATAGTTTTAAAAATGCATATCTTGAATAATTATTACAATAAATACACAGTAGAATTAGTTTGGTTTGCATTATATCGAATTTTAATTCAGAAAAAATACTTTCTTTTCTTTAATACAGACGTTTGTGCTATTACGAATTTTTCTGCTTCAATTATTACTGTTTGCATTAAATTGAATTGGTTCATGCATCTAAATTGCATTGCTTGATGAACCCCCAAATTTGACTATGAATTTGTGCTGCCTCAATCGTTTTTCCATTCAACAGAATTCCTTTTATTAGATTTTTTATTGTGTAATATTAGTACGTAATTATACTTCAAAATATCAGTTGTCCATCTTTAAAAATGGAAACTCAGTTAACTACACATAAAAGTGTGATTAAAAGTATCGTAAAATTAGATAAAACTAGAATTTCTTTGCAAAATACATAGGTACAAAAATCTGGTTATTTGTAAAAAACAAGGTTAAATAGTTTTTTTTATTCTATTTTATACTATCTTTTTAATTTAATTTCACTATTTTAAATTATTTTAATGATCGTATTTTTTTAAAAACTAGTCAATGTAGGTTTCTTATGTCAAATTTGTAATGAGATACGTTTTTCTAATAACTTGTGACATTACTTATTTGTGTACAGTTTCTGTCAAAAGTCAATTTCGACAAATAACATATATAGTTTCTTATTATTAATAATTATTTTAAATAATTAAATATGATTTTAATCTCTTAAAAACATTAAAATTAATTTTCTTTTAAAATTTTAATATCTTAAATTTAGTTTTTTTAACTAAATTTTGTTAAATTTATTTAATATTTTAAACACATTTTTAGTTAATATTATAAAAATAAAATTTATTTAATATTTCACACACTTTTTAGTTAATATTATAAAATAAAAATTATCAAACGATATAAAAAAACTCAAATGCCAATTAAATTTAACAAAATTTAAAAAAATATATTTTAAATTTTTATTAAAAGTTAAAACTAAAAAAGTGAAAACAAATTAAAAATATTTAAAGTAGATTAGAAAAACTATTTTTACCAAAAATAATATATATTTTTTTTAAGTAAGTATTTTTATTTTTATCTTGAAGAAATATTTATAAGAAATGTCACCGCTAAAATAAATGAGTTGATATTATATAAATGAATATAAATTTTATTTTATAAATTAGATTTTTAAGGTTAAGTTAATTTTAAAATTTATTTATTAAATAGATCTTACAATCATTCAAAGTCTATGTTAACAAATTTTATTTTTTATTTTTTACACCTATTATGTCATCAAGTTACAATTAGAACATTAATTAATGTTTAATTCCACATTCATTAATAAAAATTAAACACTTTATATATATATATATATAAAGAGGTTAAATTTAACTAAAAATTGACTTGGTAGTAGTATACTTGAAATGTTTGTGTGAATTGGTAACCATTTTCAGGTAATGCCACTGTCTGGATTTCTCATAAGCAAAATTTTCAATCTTCCACCACATTTTGCAGCAGGTTTAATATTAATTGGTGGCTGCCCAGGAGGTATATGAATTTTAATTTATCTGAAAAATATTTCAAGATAATAATATTATTAGCATATTTTATATTTTACTAAATTATTTATGTATGTTTTTCTACATTTTTTTTCTTGCAGCTGCTTCCAGTAACATCATAACCTATCTTTCACGGTATTATTATTTATGAAATTGTGGATGAGTTATCGGAATGAATTAATAGTTGAATGATCGATGACGCAATTAATGTGTTTATGTTTTCACAGCGGAAATGTGGCGCTGTCTGTAATAATCACAACTGCAAGCACCTTAACTGCAACGGTCTGTACTTTTTGGTTTCCATTTTTGACCAAATTAATTCAGGTTTTACTAAATTAAATGTTGGT